CTCTGTCACATCTTGTTTTCCTCATTCTATCCTGTTTTAATTCAGTTCCCTCCTCCTTGTACAGCAGAGTCACGCTATTGGAGGAAATGGGTGAATAGTGACTGCTGAGTGACAGGTTATTCTGGGCCACCAGTGGAGGAAAACATAGCGAAGTAATGGAGGTAAACGTCCGGCCAGTAGGCTGGCTGGTACACAAACAATAGGCTAGGAGGTTCTGAGCAGCGACACAGTCAGAACTGCTGCCAGCTCACCCAAATAAATACAGCTTGCCTTGTCCCTACTATTATGTCTATCTTCAAGTACCTAACCGTGTGTTAACACCTAAACTATGGATGGCTTGCTTTGTTCCGACTCCAGCTACATGATTCCACATTTTGAATTGTGTCTTAAAAATAAGACTTCTAACCTTTATTACGCCAAATTTCAGTTACCATATTTTTCACCAATAAAACATATTTGCTCTACTGTACGTAAAACATACCTTTTGTCTTGCCATAGTGCCAACATTAAGCCACTGTGTGATCTTTTCCAAGGCATACATATGCAAGTCGATCTGGTGACAGTTTTGGAAGATTTGTATTGCTGTAGCTGTAGACTAAATAAATAGTAAGGGATCTAACAGCAATCCTTGAGGCACACCCAAATATAAGGCCCACAAAATAATACAGAAGGATAAGTAAATTATAACTATATGTATTTGTTTGACATGTTTTTTTGCAAGTTTCACAAAATGTAAATATTTCAAAATGTACAATAAATCAGGAGAGGCCATAGGTAGGAGGCTCAGAGGTTATTGAGTTGCAAGCGGGCTTCAAACTCATAATGGGCAAAAACCAGGAGACAGGATACACAAAGGTTTACAGAAAATATTTCCACTACTGGCACAATATGCCCCATACTTAGATCACTACAAACTATTCTCACGACACAGCACAAATTAATTCGAAAATACCTAATATGCAAATTATCATATAATGCTCACTACGTTGGCTTGGGCAACAAACCAACCACATGAGCTGGAAAGCAGCTTAGGCCAACCAAACAACACACTGAAATGAAATAAGCATAACCAAAACAAAAGAATATCAGATTAGGGCAAAACAAAATCAAATCAAAGATGCAACTTAATGCAGACGAAAGGCACCTACAGTATCACAATTGAACAAAGCTGCAACTAAAGCAGAGATAGTAAACACAACACAACTAAAAAGGTAGAATAAAGGAAGGTGTAAAAGCATAGCAAGCCAACAGTTTAGGTCATCGCACAACAAGAGTAACAGGCGAAAATATCTCTGTATTCAATGGTGAAAGAGTCTCATTGCTCTGCACGCCAACAAGGTGTACATACACACATATCCCAAGGAACCAAAGCATCAGAGGTAGAAAAACAAACAAAGAGGGTAGCTACTGAGTGTAATTTGGCATGTGAGGAGGACAACATTCTCATTGGCTAGACATCAAACTAAGGGGGTGTGCACTTTCAACCAGCCAGTAAGGGCTGGACAATATGTTGATATAGTGATATGAGACGAGATATCAACTTAGATTTTGGATATCGTAATATGGCAAAAGTATTGTCTTTTCATTGTTCTAAAGGCTGCATTAATGTATTTTTTCAAATGTGTAATATTTTCTTTATTCACAAGTCATTTCCAGTTCACTAATGATAATCTATCAAAAATCTCATTGTGTTAATATTTTATGAAAACAGTGATTACCCAAACAGTTGACAGTTACATTATGTTCTAACCTATATTTGATATATCCCAGATCGCAAAGCCCTACAGCCAGTTACATTTCACTGTAAGAGTTAAAATAAAGGATGTACATGTTCTGAATTCAATTAGGTCCTGTTTTTAGTTGGTTCATACTGTATTCATTTCCAGAATTACCCTATGAAACATTATAAAACATAGCCACAAAGACAAATAGATTCACAATTGATACTGTCAACCAACCCGTAAATATGTAACTGACATCTATATCCTGTCTCTGTCTGGAGGCATTAGCCCAAGTGGGACACACACACACACACACACACACACACACACACACACACACACACACACACACACACACACACACACACACACACACACACACACACACACACACACACACACACACACACACACACACACACAAAGAGAGAGGGGGAGTATGAGAGGCCCTCGCTGTCTGGTAGAGTGGAAGACGATTCTCTAGGCTCAGTAATTTATTCACATTGTTGGCCAATACAAACCAACTCCATACATTACCATGTATCAAGTCTGTGTGAGGCCAACTTTGAGTAAATCATTAAAGTTGCTATTCAAATCATTAAAGTTGCTATTCAAATCATTAAAGTTGCTATTCAATCTCTCCATAGTAAAAATAGAACAATATGCAATGCAACAAGCTCTGATTAAATATGTATTTATGGTAGAAAACTGTTTTAAAAACCCCTATTTGCCATAACAGTGTGTGGACTGCAACTTCACAGGCATCCCAACATTACACAGATAATGAGTAAACAAAGATCTATAACCAATCAAACAAAAACCTACCGTTCCCAATCAATGAATTTGTTGAAAATACTATTATGTTGTGCGTAGACGGCTCTGCTAAGATTGTTCCCTAGTTTAGGTTTCATGTTATGTGTTTAGATAGGTTCCTGTTTTATTTTGATAGTCTTTACCCTCATGTGTCTAAAGTACGTTTCCTGCCTTGTCTGTTTTCCCACGGTTGTGATTGTCTAATTGTCTTCACCTGGTGTTGTCTGTCTAGTATAGTTCTCGTCTTCCCCGGTCTCGTTGCCAGATTGTCTTGTGTGTTCCAAGCCTTCCAGCGTAAGATCCTTTTGTCATTGTCCATAGAGTTATCGTCCATAGAGTTAGATTAGTGTATTAGTAGTTTTTGTTTTGTTGCTTTATGTATTCAGTGTGTTATGACCTGTCTACATTAAAACACTTTATTTTGATACTTTGTTTGTCTCTGCATCGTGCATTTGGTTCCACGCCCTTATACAGCCCTAACATATTACTATTTTTCCCACCTGTGGCTACTTTTCAAAACCCAGTCATCATAGGTAGGAGGGATCTGTCCTGGGGTTTCTCACATTGATGAGTTCTTCCTTGGCAGGTAAAAACAAGCTGAAAACAAAACAATTTTTTTTTAACTATTCAATATATTGACTTGGTATAGATAAATGTTGTCTTTAATTATGAGAAACTTCCACCATCTACCAACATGTCCCACAAGATTGTATTGCATGGTTTACAACCAGAACGCTGTCTCAGTCAGTGCCAGTTACAAGCTAGGAAACAACATAAACAAACAGAATATGCCAATTACACTTACTTTTCAGACAGGCCGGCTAGCCACCGAGTTAAGTGTATAACAAACTCCTAATTTGAGAATGCATGTATAGATGAATCTCAAAGAGTGTAAATGTTAAGACAACACACCTTTGAAATGACAGATACCAAAACGTATCATGATAGCTCCGGTGCACACAACACCATTGGCGCCATAGCTCGAACAGCGGTCCTCGGCCAGGAAAGTCCAAAACCAGTTTATCATGTTAAGCACTGTTAAAATATATTAACAGATTCAAACGTTCTCTAGGTAAGGAGAATCTGAATAGAATGCTAGGCTGTGTTGAATCACCCCTGACATGGAGCCAAAGTTATTTTGGGCCTGAATGTTTTTTAGGGTTGATTCTGTCAGTATATATACTCCCTGGCTGTCACTCTTCACACACATTACAAGGTTCATGTTATCCATTCAGAGCCAGTGAAACACAATCATGACCTTATTTCTTCCTCTGTGACTAGTGCTATCCATTCACCATGGTGCTGATCCTACTGCACTTCTCAGATGAATCTTGTGCACTTCCAAGATAAAGGATCTCTATTCTTAACAACCAATCATTAACTCAGAGGTTAAATACGCCTGCAAACAATATAGTGACCACAAAGGCTATGTTCTATGTTTAGAGACTCCATTAAATAACTCCATCTTTGATAGGCCTATATATGAGCCTTCTTCCAAAAGTGTAAAGACAGTCTTGAGTTCTTCCAAAAATGTAAAGCCAGAATTGAGTTCTTAAGTATAATTTCTATTTGTTTTAATATATGGTATGTATTGAATCATTGCTGTTAATAAACAACATCAGATGTATTTCAAGTTTGTTTCTTTTTCTTACAAAACAAAAAAAGCAAAGAAGTAAAGTAGACTCAATTAGTAAGACACAAATTAGAATCCATATTCATCCTCCATCTGTTGATAAGCGTAGATTCATATTTTAGATAACACACACACACACACACACACACACACACACACACACACACACACACACACACACACACACACACACACACACACACACACACACACACACACACACACACACACACACACACACACACACACACACACACACACACACAGAGAGAGACTAGCAGGACTAGCAACGGTTTCCATAGTCGACACAACAATTATATCTATTCAGTTGCCTTAAAATACTACTTTCACCCTCATCTTAAATGATGAGGGTGAAAGTAGTAACATGTAAAGATTTTCACCTTTGCATCTCTCCAAAATCATCTTGCAGCGCTCTCTGGTGGATAGCAAGAGCAACAGATTTAATATGACTGACATTTCAGAGAGCAAGGGCATTTTGACACGTAGGCTATGTGGTTGTTGTAACATTAAACTGTACAAATTCCCCTGACATTGAACTAAATCTTCCCTTAGTTGCAGATATGTGTAAATGCTATAATATTTCCTAGTTTGCATGTAAACCCATTGCAAAGACGTAATCTCATTATTTTATTTTGAAAAACACAATGTCCGGAAGTGGCGCTTGGAATTTGGCATGCGCATAATACAGAGGAAGAAAAACACCAGTGTTTAGCCGACGGTATACAATTGTAAACATTAGCAACCCGGTCAACTTCTTCCTGTCGTTAGGATGGAAATATAAGGTAAACCCCCGTCTTAATTAGCTTGAATTTTTTTAATAACTGTCACCGCAAACACATACCGTTTTGGAAGCGTTAACTTATTTAATGTTAGCATTACAGTTTAGTTCAACCGTGCATTCTGAATGATGTCTAGGCAGACTCAAGCGGCCACAGACACCCTAAACATGTCAGCCAACTTGGAAATGTCTTCATGTGTTGCTATATTTCGTTTTGTTTGTTTGCAACCATTTACCGTTTCGTGTGTTTTGAGTTAGGGGTCGCCTGTGGATTCCATACTGCTAAGTTAGCAATAGCACATAGCATCAACCGACATCCTCGGGAAGTAGCTTTTAATATTATGCGCAAACGCAATTTAACACAGGTGCAGGCACTTCTTCTTTTAGTATATGTATAATGTGTTTCTGTAACAACTTTTGATTAACCTCAATGAAGCCACATTCGTAGCATAACATTGTAAATGGTGGTTAACGTTTGGTAGCTAGCTAAGTGTTCTGCCTTCGCATCCGGTTCTGTATATCTGCTGAAACTGCTAACAACAAACAGTTAGCTTATCTTAACTACTTGTTAATCAAGCGAAGAATGTAGCTCCAAATAAATCACTCACAGGGAGTGATCTGATTAACTGTACTAACTTCAAATGAACTGATAGGACTGGCATTGGGGTTAATTGGACTTGAAGCTAATGTTTATAGTCAAGTCTGAGCCGCTGTCTTGCTGATCCCGTAAAACACCAATAGTTCTGCGTTCTTGGTTTCCCCAAGTAATCCTCATAAGGTTAATACAGTTAGTGCGATGCCATTTGAAAACCGTCCTTCATCTAGCTGCTGCCTTCTGTGAAAGCTGACTACCAAACCAACTGTTGTAGTTTACGAACACATACAGATGAATGAACAAAACAGGGAATGAGGACTTGAATTAACCAATTTGCAATCTAGCTAGTCTTTGTATTCCATTCATTCTCCAAACCCCACGGGATGCAACAGACAAGTAAGGACATACTGTACTTTACAATAGCAGGTATCACAACATTAAAACATTTCACAAGTGTAACTAGCGCACAATAGTGAAATAGATGCATTTGCTCAATATAATTACTTTTCAATGAACAGTAGCCCACCTTTCTGAACATTGTAGAAAACATTTATTTTGTAGACTTTGCCAGAAAAGTGTAGATTCAACTCCATGTTCCTTTTTAAGGCTGTAGTGAGTGTTGGTCTCTTAGAGGACTGTAATACATTTTAAGCAGTTTTCTAATCCCCATTTACCTGTATGTTTGGATAACAAATGCATAAAAAGTCACCTCATAGTTATATTGTCCACATGACCACACCATTATTGAAACACCCGTTTAACACGGTGTCAACTAAACCATTGTTAGTCTTACAGAAGCAGGGTTCATTGAACTGCGGCGTCTTTTGAACTTGATGGATTGTACAGGTGTGTCTAAATAACCTGTGACTCAGTGTAAGAAAACAGATCAATCTGATTCCTGTCTTTTCTCAGAGATATAGCTACAGATCCAATTTGGAAAGGTGTGTGGCACAAAGAAAATGAAAAAACAGTGCTACATTCACTTTTAATTCCTTTACTCCATCTCTTACATTTCAAATGAGGACAGACTGACTACAGACAACGTTTGATTAGTTTTGCTGTGTTTTAGGTCAACCCCAAGCTGTGGGACCCAACGTTTTTCTTCAGTGCATGGACGCAAAGCTAATGCGCAGGTAGGTGTGGTATTAAGGCTTTTTTTTTCAGATTGAAAAACATGTGGCTTTTTATCCAGAGTCTATCACTAGACCTTAAACAAGAATGTTTTTTAATCAAAGATAAGAATAAATGTCACACTTAATTATTATGTTGAGTTTCTGTTCAACTTAAATGTAGATGGCTTCCAGGCTGAACAAGATGAGTTGTTGAAAAATGTCAAGTGAAAACATATGGTACATTTACTTACTTTATTATTGCCCATCCGATTTCTTTTTAGGGCCACTAGCGCACGTCAAGACGCCACTGGAATGGACATCACCAGCCGCTGTACTCTGGGGGACCCCAACAAGCTCCCTGAAGGGGTCCCCCAGCCTGCACGCATGCCCTACGTCTCGGACAAACACCCGCGACAGACCCTGGAGGTGATCAACTTGCTGAGAAAACACCGTGAGCTCTGTGACGTGGTGCTGGTGGTGGGTGCCAAGAAGATCTACGCTCACCGTGTCATCCTGTCTGCCTGCAGCCCGTACTTCAGGTACCAAGAGACAAACACTGAATTCCACTCAGATATGGGGAAGGAAATCAATCCACTGAGGTCACATAAAAGTGCAGGTGGAATACTTTTGAGTGCTGGCTGTAACGGTGATATCTGTTCAGGGCGATGTTCACTGGAGAGCTGGCAGAGAGCAGGCAGACTGAAGTGGTGATCCGCGACATCGATGAGAGAGCCATGGAGCTGCTCATTGACTTTGCCTACACATCACAGGTAACGGCAGTGGCAGTAAACAGTGTTTATATTTGGCATCAGGCATTGGCGGTGTATCGTTTGTAGTAACACAAAATACAATGTTTCCCGCAGTTTCTCGCAAATCTACCACTGCTACCATCATGGCCAAAAATCTCAATAATATGACAAATAGTGATAATGGCCGCTAAATATGTCAAAAACGACAGCTACCTGCTCCAACAATTCTTTAAGTCTGAACAAGACATTAAATTACAGTGGATGTAATAACTATATTTTACGGTGGCCCTGAAGTGCAAGACACCATAGCATTTCACAAAATACTACAGCATTTCAACGTATACGGAAAGGGTATTCCAAAGTTCAGGGAGAACATTTCTTGTTTGTGATTGGACAGAGCCAGCCAGAGAAGCACTGCTGTGATTGGTTGTTTTTGCTGCAAGTCAAGAAATGACGCTTCGTGATTGGTCAGCACCCGACAGCGCAATATCTCCAAACACATCAGCCGTAATTAGCACACACTCAGAGCTCACAGCTCCTCATATCTGTTCAGAAACTGGACACAAGTTAAACATGTACAAACCACAGACTGTCTATGTCATGGCGAATACAGTCGCTGCTTTATTTATGTCTGTATGACGTTGTTGTGAGTGTGGACGGAGCAGCAACAGGTTAGTTTAGCCTGGTCGATCCGATTCCATTCAGAAAACACGCATTTTAAAAGCTTTTCGCCTGCCGTCTTGTCTGCAGACTTGTCAAAGCGTTAATTCATGGTTTTTACTAACCGTTATCAGTATGTAGTTACTTCGGCATCACTTTGAAACGTGTATTACAATTAAATCACGGTCAAATATGTTCATTTTGTTGTAGTTGGTATCTCCCATAGGATTTACATGGAGATACGCCCCGCCCCCCTCTCCAGCGCGTCTTGTTTGAATGACAGGAGCAAACACAGCTGACAGCCGCGGTGAAACTCGAGCGATTAGAGCGATGCGAATATTGGGTGGTCTACCATAGTATTTACATGGAGATAAGCCCCTTAAAAACCATGAATTAATAAAGCATTAATTCTGTGTTTACTCCTGTCATTCAAACAAGATGCTGGAGAGGGGGCGGGCCGTATCTCCATGTAAATCCTATCGGAATCGGATCGATCAGGCTAAACTAACCTGTAGCCGCTCCGTCCACACTCACAACAACGTCATACAGACATAAGTAAAGCAGCGACTGTATTCACCATGACATAGACAGTCTGTGTTTTTTACATGTTGAACTTTTGTCCAGTTTCTGAACAGATATGAGGAGCTGTGAGCTCTGAGTGTGTGCTAACAGCTAACGGTTGATGTGTTGGGCCAATCACGAAGCTCATTTCTTGACTGGCAGCAAAAACAACCAATCACAGCAGTGCTTCTCTGGCTGGCTCTGTCCAATCACAAACAAGAAGTGTTCTCCCTAAGGAATACCCTTTCCTTAGGGAGAAATGCTGTTGTGTTTTCTGAAATGCTGTGGTGTCTTGCACTTCAGGGCCACCGTAATATTTCCACACTTGCACACAATACAGCTAAGTCCACAACAAGGTAATTGATAAGTATCAATAAGGATATAAATACAGCATTTCCAAGATGCTGTATTTCCCTCACAGTACAGTAAAGTCTGTCATCATTAACCCAAAGAATAATGTACATGTTACTAGGTAATGTCACTCTCAAAGCATAAGAAATAGCTCAACACATCCGCAGTGAGGATGGAAATAACTAGTTTCACTCACGGGCCTCACAGCTTCATCAAGAGTGTCTGATGTCTCTACCTCCCTGCTCCTAGGTGACGGTAGAGGAGGGAAACGTGCAGACGCTGCTCCCCGCCGCCTGCCTTCTGCAGCTGGCTGAGATCCAGGAGGCCTGCTGCGAGTTCCTCAAGAGGCAGCTGGATCCCTCCAACTGTCTGGGCATCAGGGCCTTCGCAGACACACACTCCTGCCGAGAGCTGCTGCGCATCGCAGACAAGTTCACCCAGCACAATTTTCAGGAGGTAAGAACATGGATAAGAATGAGTGTTTCCACAGTCACTTGTTGTTTTAAACCCATACGATATAGTTTGATGATTCAAAGCTCCACTGATCAAGGAGCATTTGACTTTTCTGTTCTCTCTTTGTAAAACAGCTGCTGACAGACTGTTCTTCTCTCGTGTCGTAGGTAATGGAAAGTGAGGAGTTCATGCTGCTGCCTGCCAACCAGTTGATTGACATCATTTCCAGCGATGAGCTCAATGTGCGTAGCGAGGAGCAGGTTTTCAACGCTGTCATGGCCTGGGTGAAGTACAGCATCCAGGAGCGCAGACCACAGCTACCCCAGGTTTGTGGGTGTAGAAATATCAGTTATCAGTATATAACAGTTACTGGTTATTGTCTGTATAGTTGTTGGTGTACATTAAAGTCATTTATGCCCAGCATGACTTATTTCCTGTGTTGTGTAGGTCTTGCAGCATGTCCGTCTGCCGCTGCTCAGCCCCAAGTTCCTGGTGGGAACTGTCGGGTCAGACCCTCTCATAAAAAGTGACGAAGAGTGCAGGTGAGTGCTGTTTATCAGCCATTTCAATGTCATTGGTGAGAAAAATGCTTCTTGTGGTTGAAAAATACTGAGATGAAAAACATTTACCTTGATTTTGTATTCACAGAGACCTGGTTGACGAGGCTAAGAATTACCTGCTGCTACCACAGGAGAGGCCACTCATGCAGGGTCCCAGAACACGGCCGAGGAAACCTATTCGCTGTGGAGAAGTCCTATTTGCAGGTCAGTATTTTCCAACAAAGGTTTTGTTGTATGGTATTGATGTTTTTTGTTTGTTGTTAAAAATGAACTATATATTTTAATCTCTCCACTCATAATGTCTGGTGAAAATAAGACCATGTAATCATAATTTCTATTATGTTACAATTGGTTAAAGAATGTTCACATATCCTTTTTTATGAAATATATCATCCCAACAAGGGTTTTATAGAGCGTGGTGAAGAAGACTGGTTGGGTTGCCAGGTAATATTTGACCAAAATATCTGTTATTTTTCCAGGACATTCAAATCTTCCAGGACACACCCAGCGGCAATAAGGAAATAATTTAATAATTAAAAATAATCTGTTTTAGACGATAACTTAAATCAAGATTCCGTTGCAATCGAATATAGAGAATTATGTAGACACCACTGCCTGTTTGGAGGATGATTGTAGCTTACCTTGGTGAAGGAAATAGCTTGCATACATCATGTGCTAATTCAAAACTGTAAACCCTCTTTTTTGTCTCCTTGTCTTGTAGTTGGAGGTTGGTGCAGTGGTGATGCCATCTCCAGCGTTGAGCGTTATGATCCCCAGACCAACGAGTGGCGGATGGTGGCGTCGATGAGTAAACGGCGGTGTGGAGTGGGTGTCAGTGTTCTGGACGACTTGCTGTATGCGGTGGGAGGTCACGATGGCTCGTCGTACCTCAACTCTGTGGAGAGGTGTGGCACGATCACTCAGGATCTGTTGGAAATTAAGATCTAGAAAAAAATATATTTAACATCATTATTAATCGTCTTTAATTCATCTTTCCTGTCCAGATACGATCCTAAGACCAATCAGTGGAGCAGTGACGTGGCCCCTACTAGTACATGTCGTACCAGCGTAGGGGTGGCTGTCCTCGGAGGTTATCTGTATGCTGTAGGGGGACAGGATGGGGTTTCCTGTCTCAACATAGTAGAAAGGTATCTGTCATATTCTCAATGTATGACAAACCGTCCATGTAACCATCTCCACTTAGTGTATAGAAGTGTAATATTGTCCAATATTTGTCAAAGACTGAAAGAAGAAAAAGCGTCCGATAGCACCTCATCTGTAATGATGCTAAGATAATTAGCCAAATTAACTATTGCTATCTAACCCAACATAAGTTCCTCTGTGCATACAATAACTTTTTTATCTGTTGCTTGTTTTGCTGTGTTTGTGATTATTGTATTAATTCTGTTTCAGTGAAACCGATTTCTCTTTCTTGCGTGTTTTTTTTTTTAGTCCTCCATTTATTTCTTAATGCTTTCTTGCACCAGCCTTTTGATATGATGGCCCTTTTAGCATCCTATGTTATATAGCTTTAACTTGATGGCCACAGCCCTGCCCACTTTTGTCCGCGTCCACATTGACTTACTTCCAATCACATGGGCCCAAGAAAAGTTCTTAACATTACTGAAAAGCTGGTGTTTAGTCTTAATCCTAGAGATAAACGGTGTCCTTCTTGTGCTTTAGGTATGATCCTAAGGAGAACAAATGGACTCGTGTGGCCTCCATGAGCACCAGGAGGCTGGGTGTAGCCGTGGCGGTGCTCGGGGGCTTCCTGTACGCTGTAGGAGGGTCTGATGGGACGTCACCATTAAATACAGGTAGGTACTGAGTAAAGGGACAAGTACACTCTTAAAGCTAGGCGATGCAGTTTTTTGCTAAAGTTCTACAGTTAATAATCCCTTCTTATCTTTGGGTGCTTCTCTCCTCCTCAGTGGAGCGCTACAACCCTCAGGAGAACCGCTGGCACACGGTGTCTCCGATGGGAACCAGGAGGAAACACCTGGGCTGCGCGGTGTACCAGGACATGATTTACTCCGTGGGAGGGAGAGACGACACCACAGAGCTGAGCAGTGCGGAGCGATACAACCCCCGCACAAACCAGTGGTCTCCTGTCGTGGCCATGACGTCCAGACGGAGCGGGGTGAGTGTGTGCTGGGATTAAGTGCAATTTAAAAATAATGTACTTCTTTACAGGCTTATGGAAAAATCTATAGATACATAATATTATCTCAAAAATATTTTTTTTCAGTTAAGTTACCATATTTGATATGAAAGGAACTCAAATCCACCAATCTGGATACAGAGCTGAAGTGTTTGTGTTATTGTGTGTGTAGGTGGGCTTGGCTGTGGTGAACGGTCAGCTGATGGCAGTGGGAGGCTTCGATGGGACGACGTATCTCAAAACTATAGAAGTGTATGACCCTGACGCAAACACATGGAGGTAAGAGGCACCATGTGAAATAATAACGTTACTGAATACAGTTACTACATACAAGTTATTAGCTTTTTGCACTTTATGTTGTTGCAAGGCTGTTCAACTAAAATGAAGTTGCCTTTAGCTTAGTTCATCTTTTAAGTACTTGTGAATTTGGGTTAGGGTTAATGTTAGTGTTCCACAGCAACATGTGTTTCCAGAAACAATGTTCACAATCCTCTGTTTGGTGTCAGGCTGTTTTCATACGCGTCACATATGCTTTGTACAGATATTGGATATTTATCTGTAAAAACATTATCATAGAATATCACTTACATTATTGAATGTGCTGTTTCATAAAGACATGTCATAATTGACTGAGATCTTGTAATGTCACACTTCCTGTAAAGTTAGAAATGGCATGAAAATACCTAAAAAGTAGAAAGACCCAAAAGGAACCAGAACACATTCTTCCTACTGCACGAAATAGCACTTGAACTCCTCCTTCCTCATCATTTGCTTCTCTTCCCAGGTTGTACGGAGGAATGAACTACCGCCGGCTAGGTGGGGGGGTGGGCGTCATAAAAATGACTCACTGTGAATCCCACATATGGTAACCCCAAACCTTAGCCCCTCCCCCCCACACATACACAGTCACACACTTCTCATCACGCTGCAAAGGATGTCTCTTTTCACCGACTCCTGTGCCTCCAAAAGAGACGCTGCAATTCATGCGAGGATGAGAAAAAAGTGGTGGGTTGGGGAAGAGAAGGAAAGAGGGACAAACTTTGAACTCATCCCCCACTCTGAGGTCATTCACTTCAGAATGCCCTGCTTGTCTTCATTGATTGACCACCATGAAGTGCACTGAGAGCTGAACTCCACCGAGGAACATATAGCTTCCAGTTTCCCCAGTGTTCACCATCTTAGCCTCTCCGTGTGGGACATATCGAACTTTACAATGATTGCTGCTGCGGAAGATGACCTTACACATCTTAGGTTTGAAAAAGGTTTAAGCACCAGGTCCCTGGAAGAAGGATTTTCTCAGTCTGTCCAACTGTGAAAGCACCTATCACCTTCCCTTGTTGTCATATGCCAGCCCCCAAAACGTTGGTTACTGACCACCACCCTTAATGAGTTTCAAAGAAAACAGCAGACTAGAAAAGCTTCTGTTAATGGTGTATGATTCATATTTTTCAAGAAACTCAACATTAGTGTTAAATTGACTCTGTTACATTTTTAAATCTACACTTTTTTTTTTTTTTTTACCATGCATACATCTCAGCTGTGGCTGTCATGTCTCTGGGCCTCATTTGTAGCATCAAACAGTGGAAAGCTGTCAGGCAGTCTATTTTATGAAGGCTAGGTGTTATGGCTCGATACCCTGCGAGGAAAAACATAACTTATTTCACCAGAATGATGGATAGTGTCCCTTGTTTTTTTTGTATGAGGAAGTCACCGCAACATTTCCTTGTAAAGTTGTTGAAGGGGGGTCACTGCTTCTGCTCACCTGCGGCTGTTTGCTCCACAAGTTACCGAAAGAAGTTTGTTTTTAAAAAAAATCTAAACTTGTTTGATCTAGACAGCAACGAGGCCCAAGTCAGTTCAGAAATATTAATAGAAAAATGCAGGACTCATTTATTATTATAATATATAGAAAATAATTCTCTAGCCAACAGATGTTTTGCCGTTTCAGGAGTATACTGTATAAAGCCTGGGTCTTTTCTCTTTTTTTGAGTCAATCTCATAATATCCCTAATTCTGTTACAGGTTTAACATTTAGGATCAAAGTCTGACCGCTGAAATATTTCATGACTAATGCAGTAGTATTCCCAGTTTGCCGCACATGAACATGATTTTTAACTGTATATGCATTGAAAAGTCAGTGATTCAAAGTTGTGTTTTCTTGACAGTCATAGGGTTTAGAAACGCACAGGTCCTTTTTGTTCTTTATTCTCACTTCCAACATGTTGTATGTCAGTATATGCAGCACAGTGTAATGGCACCTCCTGCTGGAGGAGAGTTGTAGTGCAGCAATGACATAGAAAACAAGAAAGAGCCTTTAGACACAGACTTTTGCAAAGATTGGGGATCTTGCAAGGTTAATATTTAAAACACTACAACTAGATTCTGTTTGAGATTATTTCCCATCCTGCCCCAGGTAGAAATGCTCTCATGTTCACTGTGTAACACCAGTTTCTAAAACGTTTCCACAGTCCCAACATAACCCACACTTATTATGTTGTCTCCCTGTTTAATGTCTGCACAAAAGTGGTGGTTAATATAATAAAAGACTGACTAAAAACAGCTTGGTTTAACATCAACTTCACCAAGATCACAGGAGTGTGTAACAACTAGCAAAACTATTGTGATTTTATTAGACATTGTAATGTTTATGCGTCAGAGAAATAGCTTGAAGTGGTCCCTAAGTGATCTTAGCTCAATGTGAACTAAAGTGGAGATAGTTTGAATATATGGGGAAATTGGTTTGAATGAATCTCAAATTTGTTTGCACTGTGATTGGAAATGTATTTTAGATTGTATTTTTGTTCCCCCTTAAATATATTTTATATGGGTGTTCAGATGTGGGAGGGGGGGGGGGTCAACAATTCTTATGGGAAGACATTTCAGGCCCTCACATGGAGGATGTATTTCACAGATTCAACACAACATGGTTAGACTTGCTCTGTGTCACATACATGCGGAACAAATGCAACGTTACAACGCTGGTGTTATGCATTATAATAACCTCTTTTCCTAACCCTAATATTGGTGTTAATATTATGGCAACCCAACATTTTGCTGCCTTTAGTTTTTTAGGGAGATTTGAAGTCGCAGGATCAAAGTTTGGCTGATGAGGACATTTTGTGAATAGTTTGGGTTTTTTTGGGTTATTTTGAATTTGCATTTTTCTTAGAGTTTGACTTTATGAAAAAGGCTCCATAACACACCCTCCATATTGATTGTGGTGTGTGCTTCTCAAAATGAAATGTTCTTTCCGTTATCAAACAAAAAAAGGATGCAGATCAGCCAAATGTGTATGCCTGCTTCTTGAAAACTCTTCCAAGAATACTTTGCTATTTTCACTGCCACAGAATTACAAGGAACCCCCACTCAGTTTAAAACATATTGCTTTGGTTCCAGAACAACCTGTTGGATGTTTTTTTTCCAAATGTCATCAGCTTTGCAGTGATGTGCATTTCAGCTTATCCAATGAGGTTTCAATTATTTATTTAGTTTACATATTCATCCTTTTTAAACTACATGTTGAGATTTGTTGATGTTCATTGTTAAGCGGCAGAAAAACATTTGAACCTTTGATATTAAGGAAGTGTTTTATTCGGACACAAAAACCTTATTCCCCCCTTTTACCCACATCTTTATCGCTTTGATTTGGACTGTATTTGGTTTCCCAAACTGAGTGGGGTTTCCAGTAAACCATGTAAGCTACTAATGATGCATTTTGATTGTGATGAACAGAAGTCAGCCAGCCTGTGTGAAAATGTGTTTTCTTTTCAAGCCTCTGCAATTTGTCCAACATTGTTGTTTGTTCTCATGTGTCAAACAGCCGTCTCAACGCTGCACTCGTCACTACAGCAGCTTCGGCCTCACTATGTTCACTACGACAACGATTAAACTTCTTTTCTGGGAATAAACCCCCAAAACAAACCTGTGTCTGACTCATTCTAACTGACACTATTTTTTCGTTTGAGTGAGAAAACACAAGTGGTACACATGTTCCAACACTATAGTTTATAAGCTCAAAAAGCTCATGAGCAGCAAATGTGAAGAATTACAGCAAAAAAGGATCATTTATAGTTAACCTATAAACTGCAGAATACTCATGCAGGCTAAGCGCTGTTTATCCTGTGGGTTTTAAGAGTCATTCACCATAAAGTTGAATTCCGATGTCTGTGATATCGCGAGGCTCTGTTTTAAGTCGGTAAGCTGCTTAGCAGAGACTGCCTGTAGTGATGACTTCAGAGAGGAATCCTGGAGCTGCTCCACATTGTTGATTAAAGCCAAAAGTCTCTTACTCTGAGCCAGGAGTCGCTTAGCAGTAAGCATCACCATGGCGAACTTAAATCTCAGGTGGAAACGAAGAGCTCATTGAGGGGTGTAATCTTAGTTGTTGCTTTCATTTACAGCGTCTTTAAACATCTTTAAGCGTTCGAGAATTACTCGAACACTATTCTGTCAGCCATTAACCTCAAGTTGTAGAAACAACAGCAGGAACAAATGATCTTTTATTATCTCCTGCATTAATCCAGAATTGTATTCATTTCTAAGGAACTCAGTATCCATTTAAACCACAAACACACACCAACAGTTGGCACTTTGATTACACAGCATTTGTGTTGGGCTTACAGTATGTTTGCTGAAGGGAGAGTGTGTTTTGGGAGAATTGGCCTTGGAACAGTGGGGCAACTTGTTTGACTATTGGGATCTTGGCATAACAGTGTTTCAGGGGATGACGTGTATTTGTAGGTTGACCTCGAAAATGATTCCCTCGACAATAACGTTTTGCCAATGGATTTAGAATTTGTTTAGACTCATTCCTGCAGCTTTCTATAACCACGTGTGCAATAATTAAGGATAAAAAGGACAGGACACTTGCAGGATCACACAAAATCTCTTCAAAAGCATTCCTGTCATCATTATCACCTGTGTGGTCACTAACTAAACCACACTGTTTAAAAAAGAGGTTGACAAAAAAGCTTGGGCTATTCAATATTATAAAAAAAACTTTAGTTTTACTGTTGCATGCTGGTGTCGTGCTTGGTAGGAGTGGAAGCAGTGAACTGTGAAATGTCGATAGGCTCTATTTTTGTTCTGCTGTTTCCCTCAAGGCACCTAAGGGTGGACAAACACCCAGCACACCTCCAAACACACAATCGTGAGAACAGTACATACATCTCCTTCTGTTTCAGTACCACTTTGTATCTCTTTCTCATCTCGTTCTCCTTTTACGTCTCATGAATGAACACTGTGCCAATGGCTGCAGGCATTTCTTTACTGAACAATCTCTTGTGTCTGTCCCAGAAGATACACCCTTGCTCTAACATATACACTAAACCAACATTGGCTCTGGGCAACAAAAATGTTCAATTCTTATATTTCTGTGTGACTCGGCTGGAGCTGGCCTTTGCTCCTGTATGTTGACTTTATATATGTGCATCTCATCTTTCATCGCGTAACCTTAACACCGAGCCAGAAACACACTGCCCAACATGACCAGCTGCTCCTCAGAGAATACAAGGTACAGATGATGTGATCTTGAAAGGCCAAGGGTTATGGTTATCCATATTCACATTGACATAACAAGGGTAAGTTGTAGCATTACTAGCCATTGCCAAAGTGAAAGCTTTTTAAATGCAAACTGCCAAGTGAATTTAACTTGCAATATGGTTGACTTACATGTATTTGTGTAAGATATGAGAAATGTATGAAAAAAAAATAAGATCGGGCTCCTTTTTTATAAACAGATCTGCGATTGAAATATGTCGATGTTTGGGTTTGATTGACAGGAGCTGGCAAGCTGATCTCCGGCACGACCCTAACCCTAACCCTGTGGGTGAGATTGTATTGCTGAAAAGTTATTTTAAGCTATCTGTGCACTGTTAGAAATGAACTATTCCCTGATGTTTGTTGGAATGCTCATTCAAGAAGCTCAGCTGCAAAGTCCAAACTCCATTTCTGTTATGCTTGGCTCATGCTATAGCGTTATTATGATCAGCCAAGGAGGGAAACAGGGTTGATGCCAGCAGTCAAAGATAGGGAGTATGTAACAGCCAAGATATCTCCCACTTGGTGAGAACCGCACACAAGTGTGACATCTAAATAAAATCTAACATGCACATTTAAAGACCCCTTTTACATCTTCCATTGAAATACCTCTCGAATCCAGATGGTATTAAAATAAGATGTAACCAGATTAGTTTACTAAATGGACTCCATTAGTTTACCAAATGGCGAAGTAATGAATCCTGAGTGCAGATATATGACTTATTCCCACCAAAATTGATATTGGACCCGTTTTTCATGAGCAACATTCTGGAAATAAAATCTTATATTTACAGACCAACAAATCCAGAGAAAGTGAGTTTTATCACGCCTTTTTGGTATCGGCTCCATGTCTGCTCTCCAAAAAATGCTGATATAAACATATTAATTAGTAAGGCTATGTCTTGCACTTCTGTTTACATAATCCTTTATATTTATATACTGTATGTTCAGTGTTATTTATTTATTAGCACTCCTGCTTTTTTTTAATAGGCAGAATATAGAAATGATTTCCTCTGGATGAGACTCTCTTCAAAGTATGTATAAGTATTATATCCTTGTGTGCCGTTATTTTTTAAAAACACAAGCATAGCATGGATAAATACTTGTATAAGACATTGTAAAGTTACAAAAATTTCATTAAAAGTATCTCCTCCTCCTCCTCCTCCTCCTCCTCCTCCTCCTCCTCCTCCTCCTCCTCCTCCTCCTGAGGAACACCATGAAGGTCAGTGTGTGATGAAGGTTGATTATCCTGATGAGATGCTGATTACAGAGTAGGTTCTCTTCAAGGTTCACAGACAGTCTGCTGCAAATTGGTCTGGGTCAATATGGATGTGAAGAAAGAATGAAACTCTGCTATTATGTTGATTGTTATAGCTGCTGTTTCTGAAAACTGTCTTGTTGTCTATAATGGTGATAACTGCTGGAAGTTGGCAGTGCAAAAACGTCCTTGTCTAAAAAAGAAAAGAAAAGGTCCTCGACATGAGGAACAGGTTGAAAGGAACATGACTTATCCCTTCAGATGTTCACTCTACAATATGCAACACTTTACCTTGAGGCACTTTGCAAACGCTGTCATCTTGAGGAACTGTCTACGCTGAAATGGTATCTAGTCTGAAGTAACAGGCAGAAATAAAGCCGGCACAGATGTTAGAGAAGCAAACGGCAAATTGTAAAAGCCAAATTATAATTCTTGACGTTTTTGAACAGATAATGCTTAAGGTTTACTGTAACAATCAGTTCATTTGATCTTTTCTGCATGTATAAAGTGACCACCATGAGTTTTCACATTAGTATTGTAGAGATACAGTCTATAACATTTCTGGATCCCCTGGTGTTTTTCTATCTATCGGAGTGATTTGATTGCTATTTTGAGGTAATTGCATTCTTCCCCTGCTGTTTTCTGACCAGCAAGTCATGATGATTTCAGCTGATTGCAGTCTCTGCAAGAAAAGCCATTTCTATTCTCTTTCCTTTCCCTGCAAAACATCCTCAGAACATTGCCACATCCAGATATAGAAAATGTATTATTTATTTGCAAGTTTAGCAGTGTACAGACTTCTTGAGTTTCTCACAAAGACTCTTGAAACACTTGCAAGTGAATGCATTGTCTGAATGTTGTTTGAGCATTTCCTTGGAACAAAATGCTACATGTTTGATACATTCTGAAAATGTTGACGAAAACCTAATGGCTGAAATCCTTTTTCTTTCCACACCCGTTTTCTTTCTTAGCGTCTTTCAGCACATTGTTTTGGGCCTATGGTCGCTTACTTTACTGTACTGGTTCAGTTTCAATCAGAAGAGACTTCCTTTTTTGCTTGAAGAACATTTATTGACACCTGCGACATTTGATAGAAATGTTAATAGTCTTTGGCGATTAGACCCCGATCCTGATATCCGTATTTTATGCAGCTGTGGAGTGAATGAATACCCAGCCTTCCTGCTTGAACTTGCGCTGAGCTTCATTTCACCAACCTCATTGCTTCTAAAGACAGCTGCCTACGGCTGATGAACTCTACTGTACGAAACTTGCTCAGCACCAAATGGCAGACAAGCTGGTGAACATAGTGAAGCATTTAGCAGCTAAAGACCTTGATATATTTCTACCCAGTAAATATTGGACTCACACATTTCACGCAGATGGACACAAACATGACTCAAAAATAAATAAGATTGCTTTATCTCTTTTAGAATAAGCAAAGGTATAATCCCATCCATGACCACCTATGAAAACACTAATAGCCAATACAACATTAATGCAGTTCAGTCAGACAACTCACGTGTTTCTTTGATATGTTTATTAGAAGCAGCATATAGTTTGGCGTCTAGGCTCGGGGCTCTTCACTCCACAGATAGCACGATGAGTGATGATTAAATAACTAACGCCCCGAGCCTACAGGTGGAAGCTGGGGTGGAAGCTGGGGTGGAAGCTGGGGTGGTGGTGGGGCAGACAAACAGTAGCAACGTGGAAGTATGTGCAGCATTAGCAGCAGCAAGCAAAGCATAGAGAGATCTGGCAGGTTAAATAGAGTGGCATATTAAGGTGACTCTGTTTGGTTGGTTGTAGAGGGGCAAGGGGCGTTATGTATGAATGCATCATTAGTGCTTGAGTTGACTGCCTGAACTAGCTCGCAGGCTTCGCCCCATTTCAACAATATTGTTTTATAATGTTCAGTTATGTATATGTTGTAAATAATTGGAATAAGGGGATATGTTTTACTTAAAAACCGCCAGTCACATACATTGTTAAGAAATTATTTCATCACAAGCTTTAGATGTCTACAGTTTACTTCCATCTAACATTGTCCTTTCTTTTCTTTTTTTTATCAAAGTTTAATCAAGTCTTTTTGGGAATTGATTCTACATTCTCTACCATTTATTTTCCA